GAGGTTCGAGTATCTACATGAGGAGGTATTCATCAACCAGAGGAGTGATGAGGACTTGTGGTAATGAGAGTTAATGCTACGACTGATGACCACTAGAATGGTGAACGTATTGACGATAGTGATGAACGCATTGATGATAATCATGAACATATTCATAATGTTGACCAGACCACACACTAGAAGTTGAAGGGACGACGACGTTTCGGTCCGTCCTGGACCATTCTCAAGTCGATTGTGACTTGACAATCGACTTGAAAATGGTCCAAGACGGACCGAAACGTCGTCGTCCCTTCAACTTCTAGTGTGTGGTCTGATCAACATACTTCAGCCACGTTACTGTGACTCATCGCCTGCATATTCATAATGATGAACACATTGAAGACAACGACGAGTATACGCAGTTATACCCCCCATAAAAATGATATATGGTCAACGCATTTTACAGAGTTAATTATGATACTCTGTGACCTTTAGCTCGTCTCAGTACGGGGTTCCAACATCGCCTCTCCACCACCACCATCAATCTCCCTCCTGTGCTTCAACTCCCATGCGCGCATTATACGCGCCATTTGCTGCTCGATAGACCTTGTCTCGATAGACTTGAGCCGTTTTAGTCATTGCGTCATCAGCTTTCTCGAATATCTATCTCCCTCCCCTCTACAAAATGTCTATCAGACTTTTACAGTCTTCGGGGTGAGATTCCAACATTCTCCACTGGCCACTGTTCATACCCAAGGATAGTTGATACTATCCTGTTGATACTATCCTGAACATAGTTCAGAACGAAGGAACAAATCTTAATATATATATACTGAGAACTGGGTATATATATATATATATATATATCCCTCTCAGTGTGCATAACTCATTATCTTGTCACAACACATTCGTTTAAAAAACAGTTGTACTGAAGTTAGACACATTACAAGGGCCAGATACACGAAGATCAGTTACACAAGCACTTACGAACGTGTACATCTTTCCTCAATCATTGAGCGGCTTTGGTTACGTTTATTAAACAGTTTACAAGCGTGAAAACTTCCCAGTCAACTGTTGCTATTGTTATAAACAGCCTCCTGGTGCTTCCGAGCTCATTAACTGTTTATTAATTGCAAACAAAGCCGCCAAAGATTGAGAAAGGATGTACAGGTTCGAAAGTGCTTGCGTAACTGCTTCGTGAATCTGGCCCAAGGTTCTATTATTTGTAGTCGTGCAGACAATATGATCCAGAGGTCTGAAGCGACCATGAGGAGTAATCAGCATCTCCAGTCCTAAGTCCCAGTCTATTCCCCAATCCATCCGAGTCCAATCCTTAACGGTCCGATTTAGGAATATTGGACTGTGCTTAGTTCATTGAAGTCAGAGATCCTAACACCTCTTAAGACCTCAATGTTCCACTTAAGATTGCGGCATCGTGGAGCAGTTGAGGTTTCTCTTACAGATCGGGATTTGGCTTCCTCCTTACGGGCTTCTCTCTCTCTGTGTTGTCGAGGTGTTATTGGGGCAGAGGGTGGGGGGGGGGGTGATTGTTACCACAGGTGGTTCGTGATTGTTTCAGTGTCGGGGGGGGGGGGGGGAAGGGGTGCTGATGCTGCATCTGTTGATTCCGTTACTGCTGTTAATGTGGCTCCTGTTGTTGCTGATTCTGTAGCTGCTACTGCTGCAGTTGATGCTGCTGCTGCCTTCTGCTGGGCGTCTGAGAAGCTGAGGAGGGAGGACATCCCCCCCAATTAAAAGCAACGAAATTCAGAATCTGAATTTAGAGGCAATATTCCAGTTCTAGACGCGCCTTTGAACGAACCCTTTGCATGTGTACTGTGTGTGTGTGTGTGTGTGTGTGTGTGTGTGTGTGTGTGTGTGTGTGTGTGTGTGTGTGTGTGTGTGTGTGTGTGTGTGTGTGTGTGTGTGTTTCCCTGAATGATGCTTTGCTGTGTCGAGCGTTAGTTCCTAAGCCCCACCTTTGGTACCATTAGTAGCAGGTGAATCAAATAACTTTGTACTCTCATATTTCTTATCGTATTTACATTTAACCTTGCGTAAAGGGTCAATTCAAACTACGGCTTCCATTAACCCATTCCATTAATTTGCAACTCTTAAGAAGGAGTACTTTATGAAATATGTGATTATAAGGTGTGCGCATCAATTTGACATAGGTTGATATATATATATGATATATATTTGTGTTCCTCACGTGTGCCCCAAAGAATGAGGTGATTTGGTGAAATGCTATGCCCAAGATTACCATCCGAGTTGCCGTCGGGGAAGTGGCTCAAATAGCCTCGGCTATCACTTCCTTTTGACGGCCGTGATGGTCAAGCGGATTAAGGCGCCCTGTAGTTACCAGTTGCGTTGCTTCTGGGAGTATGGGTTCGAGTCACTTCTGGGGTGTGAGTTTTCATTCGCATATAGTCCTGGGGACCATTCAGGCTTGTTCGCATTTGTGTTCCTCACGTGTGCCCCAAAGAATGAGGTGATTTGGTGAAATGCTATGCCCAAGATT